AATTTCGCTATTGATGAAGTCATAGAAACAGCGTTCGCTGGACACGACCTAGAAGGTGTGGAGCTACTTCCTGGTGAGCGACTTCTTGACTTGGAGTATGCGGACGATATTGCCCTAGTCTGTGACGGCCTCCAAACATGCCAAGGTGCACTGGACCGATTAGCACTGGCTGTCAGTCATTTTGGGCTATGCTTTGCTCCATCGAAATGCAAAGTACTTCTCCAAGATTGGCAGGGACCCAACCCTGCGCTAACGCTTGGTGGTGATCTGCTAGAAGTCGTTCAGGAATTCAAGTACCTGGGCAGGTATATTAGCACCCGTGGGATTGAAGATGAGGTTACGAACCGCATAGCAAAAGCTCGAGGTGCTTTTACCAATCTCCGCCACCTGTGGCGCAGATGCGACATTACTCTCGCCCTGAAAGGCGGAGTTTACAACACAGCCGTCCGTTCTACTCTCTTATATGGTTGTGAAACCTGGCCCATCAGGTCGACAGACATGAAGAGACTCGTCACATTCGATCATCGCTGCCTTCGCAGCTTAGCTCATGTCTGGTTGGAACACCGCGTGAGCAATGATCGTGTTCGGCGTCGCGTATTTGGTGCAGGATGAGCGAGTGAACCGCTCAGCACGATTATATCACGCACCAGGCTCCGATGGCTGGGCCACGTGTTGCGCATGTCAGCACACCGACTCCCGCGACGTGCATTGTTTGCGCGTTGTGGGTGCGGTTGGAAGAAGAGGAGGGGAGGCCAAGTGATGACTTGGTCGAGAGGAATGAAAACCCTCACTTGGAAGTTGGCGTCGGTTGGTGCATCCCGACTGCCTGGCTGGGGTCCTAAGGACGGTGAACACGTTTGGTTGGACACACTTGCTGATATGGCTCGGAGCCGGCCCCAATGGCGTTTGTGTTGTGATTTCCTTTGCCCATCCCCCTCCTGTTTAGTATCACCCTCCAATCACGATCTCACCTGTTAGGCATAATATGATTCTCTTTTTACGACAGCCAGCTGTTAGCTCTCCGGAACGATGTCCATCCGTTACTGGGGACTCAGCGGGCTTGCCACTGTTTGTCACTGTTTTCCTTTTCTTTTATTTTGTATTGCGGCACAATAGCTGAGGTGTTTTCCACCTCCAGCTAACGTGTAATGATGATGATGATGATGATGATCGTCCCGCTCCAACTTTACTTATATCCCCCCCATTTTCAATCCCCCAATTCTTGGCCCTCCCCCAGCTTACTTTAGTAGTCGCTTGTCTTCTAATTTCAAATCACACACAATCCCAGGGCCTCGCTCCAATCCAGTTGACAAGTCCATGTTCAAGCAAGCGGACAACGTCAGTTCACCCGTTTGTTTTTGGAGTCCTCGCGTCTCGCTAAGACTGGCATGCTTCAACGTGCGCACTTTGCTGCAGATTGGCCAACAGGCAGCACTTGCCCGCACACTAGAGACCGTATCGATCGATATTTGCTGTTTATCAGAAACCCGCCTGCAAGATTCGAGCTCCGTACTTACCCTGAGATCCCCCACATGCGACACTGGCGGCACATTCTCATTGCGCCTGTCTGGCGATGATGCAGCTTCAAATGCCGGTCAAGCTGGCGTCGGCATTGTTTTGAGTCCCCGGGCTGAAGCTGCCCTGATTGATTGGATCCCAGTAAACAGTAGGATGTGTGCCGTTAGATTAGCTGGTTGCTTCCGTGCTACGAAGTCGCGCGGGGACAAACAGTGCCTGTTTGTCATTGCGGCTTACACCCCTACAAACTGTAGCACTGATTCGGTAAAAGATGATTTCTATCAGCAACTTCACGAGCTCCTTCGTTACAGAAGAAGCACGGATACTGTGGTGTTGGTTGGTGATCTAAACGCCCAAATCGGAAAGTTGTTCTCTGATGAGCTTCATCTGGGCAGCCAACATGGTGTTGGCTCGCGTAATGATAATGGTGAGCGATTGCTACATCTGTGTGAAGATGCTCGCCTCTTTCTCGCGAGCACTAACTTTCGACACAGCACCCGCAGAAGTGTGACTTGGCGGCCACCAGCCTCGGGCCAACCATGGACACAAATCGATCATATCGCGATCAGTTACCGCTGGAGGGGATGTGTCCGAAATTGTGGCTCAATGTGGAGCACGAGCGTGGACTCTGACCACGCACTTGTCTGTGCCGACCTCCTGGTGCGTTTCGGTGGACGTCCGCAACGTCGAGGTGGACGGATTGACACCAGCCAGCTGGGGAAGCCAGATGTTCTGAATGTATACCATAGTGCGCTGACATCTGGGCTGGGTAAGCGCCCACTAAACACTATTGAAGATCACTGGTTGCATATTCGTCAAACGTTACTGTCCGCAGGCATGTCTTCATGTGGCAAAGCAAATTGCCAAACCGGACATTGGGTCTCTACACAGTCTATGGAACTTATGGATGCTCGCTGACGTATTCCGGCTGGAAGCGAATACAATGAGGCTCGCAAAAATCTCGGGGCAAAACTAAGTGCTAGCCTTAGGAAGGACCGCGAAACCTGGTGGTCTCATCGTGCCTCTGAGATGGAAACAGCCGCTGCCGTGGGTAATCATCGTAAGTTATTCCGTCTGATACGGGAAACAGGCAGCAGGAGACCTGGTGTTAGCGAGACCATACGCGACGAGAGTGGGCAGCCGATCCACAGCTTGTCAAAACGCTTGGAGCGTTGGGCCGAACACTTTGCAAGGCAATTTAACAAACCTGAGTTATCGCTTTCTTCTTCGGGCATTGTGCGCCCTTCTCCTTGGGCCGTCTCCTCGGATCCGCCCTCACGCGCAGAGATCGAAAGTGAGATCCGGCTGTTGAAATTGCATAAGTCCTCAGGAGCAGATAGAACTCCCCCAGCCCTCTTCAAATTCGGGGGACCTGCTCTAGTAGATGATTTACACGAGTTGCTAGTAAGACTTTGGGAGCAGGAGACAGTCCCGACAGACTGGAACCGCTCCGTCATTGTCCCAATTTTCAAGGGAGGCTCTCGTTTGGAATGCGGCAATCATAGAGGGATCAGTCTGATTTCGATTGCCTCTAAATTGCTTGCCTCTGTCATTCTCCACAGACTGACTGGCACTCGTGAAAGCCAGATTCGTGAAGAGCAAGCCGGATTTCGTCGAGGTCGGGGCTGCATCGACCACATCTTCACGTTGCGTCAAGTGTTGGAGCACCGCCATGTTTATTGGCGACCCACCGTTGTCGTGTTTCTTGACATAAAAGGTGCCTTCGATTCGGTCGATCGATGTGCCCTTTGGGACTGTCTGCTGAGGAAAGGTGTGCCTGATAAATATGTAAACATTATCAAAGCGCTGTACGCGCATAGTTCGGGCAGGGTGAGGGTTTATGGCAAACTCTCGCCACCCTTCAGTATCACCAGCGGCGTGAGACGAGGATGCCCGCTGTCACCTTTCCTCTTCAATTTCGCTATTGATGAAGTCATAGAAACAGCGTTCGCTGGACACGACCTAGAAGGTGTGGAGCTACTTCCTGGTGAGCGACTTCTTGACTTGGAGTATGCGGACGATATTGCCCTAATCTGTGACGGCCTCCAAACATGCCAAGGTGCACTGGACCGATTAGCACTGGCTGTCAGTCGTTTTGGGCTATGCTTTGCTCCATCGAAATGCAAAGTACTTCTCCAAGATTGGCAGGGACCCAACCCTGCGCTAACGCTTGGTGGTGATCTGCTAGAAGTCGTTCAGGAATTCAAGTACCTGGGCAGGTATATTAGCACCCGTGGGATTGAAGATGAGGTTACGAACCGCATAGCAAAAGCTCGAGGTGCTTTTGCCAATCTCCGCCACCTGTGGCGCAGATGCGACATTACTCTCGCCCTGAAAGGCGGAGTTTACAACGCAGCCGTCCGTTCTACTCTCTTATATGGTTGTGAAACCTGGCCCATCAGGTCGACAGACATGAAGAGACTCGTCACATTCGATCATCGCTGCCTTCGCAGCTTAGCTCATGTCTGGTTGGAACACCGCGTGAGCAATGATCGTGTTCGGCGTCGCGTATTTGGTGCAGGATGAGCGAGTGAACCGCTCAGCACGATTATATCACGCACCAGGCTCCGATGGCTGGGCCACGTGTTGCGCATGTCAGCACACCGACTCCCGCGACGTGCATTGTTTGCGCGTTGTGGGTGCGGTTGGAAGAAGAGGAGGGGAGGCCAAGTGATGACTTGGTCGAGAGGAATGAAAACCCTCACTTGGAAGTTGGCGTCGGTTGGTGCATCCCGACTGCCTGGCTGGGGTCCTAAGGACGGTGAACACGTTTGGTTGGACACACTTGCTGATATGGCTCGGAGCCGGCCCCAATGGCGTTTGTGTTGTGATTTCCTTTGTCCATCCCCCTCCTGTTTAGTATCACCCTCCAATCACGATCTCACCTGTTAGGCATAATATGATTCTCTTTTTACGACAGCCAGCTGTTAGCTCTC